AATAATTAAACAGACTGTGAAGCAATCATTTTACAATTTTAGTTAGCTTTATTAAATAAATGCTGTCATCATTTTACTCTGACACTCGTCATTTTCAAAGTATACTACCACCCACAGTTTTGCACGAACGTTCTATCTAAGCTAGCAAGTTAGCTTCAACACGATTGATCGCCCAACATCTTTAGCACGCGCTCAATCTCTCCGTGTTGGGCTGAAATTGGTGATAAAATGCCGTCAATATGTGATATTGTTATTGCTATCTTACTTCCTCTTGTCAGCATCTACAACAGATACGGTTGCAACAGTGTAAGATCATTCATCTTCTTTCTCTCTTTTATTATTAAGCTAGCTAGTGATCAAATTAAAATCCAAGTTATAATTGGAGTATTAATCTAATTCTATGTTTTTTTATAAAAATAACAGCGTCCATTTTTAATTGAGCTCCTATTTCAAACGACCAAAAAATCAATTATATAAGTAGTCGTCTTACAAATCATATTGTTATTGAGCTCCTATTGAATTGGGAGGCCATGTGTATGTTGAAGACAATTGCTTAATGTATTACATATATTTCATTACTAAATTAATCATGTATTTTGGCAACACATCAAGCAAAAAAAAAAACATCAAACACACCATGCTCACTAAATCCAACTTAAAACCTTTTCGCGGCATCACACATTCATACTAACACTACATCCAGTTGAATGGAACAAAAATTCAAGCATCAAGACACCATTCATTTCAAGGGAGGCCAGTCCCCTGATCCGAGTAGGCCGGACAGACTTAAATAAAATTATAATCGAATGTGAAAATACAGAAACGCGTCCATTAAATAGATGTAGAAAGACTGTTGGAGCAATTATTTTACAATGTTAGACATCTTTATTATATAATTCCTGCCTCATGTCTAATGATCATTCTGACCTGTTTTATTTTTTGTTTATCATTGAACATACAAGTACATTATATATATGCTCTTTGGTGATCATTTTACATGCCTTGTATATAATATGTTATGATCCTAACTATAAACATATGTCTTTAATTAGTTAGTTGACTTAAATCGTGCAAAGCACGATACCTTCTCACTAATTTATTTGTAAAATTAACAAGCTATATATAAGAATTCAGAATTTTCAATCTGATCATACATAACAGTTGCTTCAACTCTGTCTGAAAACAAACCAATAATGCCATCGATATCCGATTTCGTTATTGCTGTCTTACTTCCTCCTGTCAGCGTCTTCAACCGTCATGGTTTCTTAATTGTAAGTTCAATTCAATTATCTTCTCTCTTCTTTGTTAAGTAATCATTATCAAGAATTTATAATTAGTCAAATTTCATATTTATTTTTGTAAAAAAAAAAAAAAAAAAAAAAAAAAAAAAACTGCAGCCTGGATTTTGGCTATGTCTGGTGTTGACAATGTTAGGGTACATCCCTGGAAGTCTTATTGCTGTTATCGACCTTTACATAGAAGAAGACCGTAAATCATGGTACGAAGAGTTCGTAGAAGTCTTGTTATAATACTTGTAAGACCCTGTTCTCCTCGCCTTATTTTTTTATTTTTTGCTAAATTTAATTATTATTATTTTTTTGCTAAAAATACTCTGATTTTCTCTCATCTCTGTCATTGCAGGAACCCTTTCTTGATCAAAACCGTGATTGAAGTTTATCTATTGATCATTCGACTCGATGGTAGTCTTCCGATTTCAAGAGGATATCAAGGCGTTCTTCTTCAACGAACTCTCTACAGCATGACAGCCTGAAATGGACAAAATGTGTCAAATTAAACTGAGAAAAAAAGACTGCTGACTGCCTGATGATGTGCTGAGCATAATAGATACACACTTAAAATTTACAATGTTGTTGATTAGATAGCTTAATCACCTTAATGTTGCTTGTCTAGCAATTATTCTGACCCGTTTTTGGGATCATTTTTATATGCAAATATGTATTACACATATAATGTTGAATGATATATAACATACATTGACTTATAATCTTTAATTGTTAATTAATAAAGTTAACAAATTTTGTATGATACAATAATTTTTTAGTATTAAGATATACCTGGACTATTCCATAAAAACATACATTAAATAGTTAGGCCTTACTGCCTTAGGCAGGCAGGCCCAGCAGCAAAGCGCAGCCCAAATCCTCTGCATTAGCCTAGGCCAGCCATTAAGGGTCTGTTCACATTATTTACTTAATTTCAGTTTAGTCCAGTTCAGCTCCAATCAATTCAATTCAGTTTAGCTCCTAATTTCTCTCTCTCATAAAATATTAATTTCAGCTCATTTTAGTTCAGTTCAGTCCAGCTCCAATCAGTTCAGTTCAGTTCCAATCAGATCAGTTCAGTTCAAAGGCCCTAACACCGATGTGACTTTTTTTGGCCGAAAATAAAAAAGTCAATGCCGAAAAATGGTCAAAGGACCCTCCTCACAACCCAAACATGATATAAGGACCTTTTGTGCCACCTTTTTTATAAAACGACCTTTCTCACAAGGTCGACCACTTAAAAGGATCTTCCTCGCAAATTTTCCCTCTAATTATTATATTTTTAATTTTATATAAAAATAACACAAATTCCGTTCAAAAAAAAAAAAATTAAGGGGCTACCCTATTCTCATTGACTGAACTCAGCTGAACTGAATTGAACTTAATTGAGCTGAACTGAACTGAACTGAACTGAGCTGAGCTGAGCTGAACTGAACTGAAATGAATATTTTATAAGAGAAGGAAATTAAGAGCTGAACTGAATTGAACTGAGCTGAGTTGAACTGAGATGAACTGAACTAAACTAAACTGAATTGAATTGAGCTGAACTGAATTTCAATGTAAGAGAACAGGCCCTAAGTTTCATATGTGGCTTGCTAAACGGTGTACCAGAACTGCTTATTCAAGGGTTACTCGGTCGGTTAGGAGTTGCTCAATTGATTAGAGGTTACTTGGTCAGGGGTTTTTCGATTGGTCATGGGTTACTTACTTGGTGAGTATTTGGTGTGTATCAGCTGGCCATACAGTGTAGGTTTTTTTTTTTTTTTTTTTTTTTCAATTGAGGATGAAAAATTGGTAAGAGTATATTAAAAAAATTATAGAATATTGGTTCCTGTATACCATACGAATGTGATTATATCATACAAGATCTGATTATATTACTACAAAGGTAATTATATCATTTTGAAGCTGTTATGTAAATGTATAACTCAAAAAGTGAATTTATCGTTATAAAAAGTATCAAATAGTAAATTACATCATTTTAAAACATGATTTTTAAATTTTATCATCCTAAAGATAATTATATAATCTCATTAAATAGTTTAATATGAGATTATATAATTCAAAATATGACTCACAAAAAGATAATTATATCATCTAAAAAAGTGATTATATCATCCAGAATGTGATTATATTATTTGAAAGTGTCAAATTTTGGGTCTACAATAATTTATTGTAGACCGGGTCCATACAAGACCAATTGCATCATCTATCAATTTATTAATTAGTTGGTTCGTTCCTTAAAATAAAATAAAAAAAATAAAAAAATAAAAAGCTGGTTTGTAATGCAACCCACGTAACTTTAGTTAGTTTGTATCTAACAATACATTTTCAACTAGATCATCAACTAACGGAAACAATGTCGTCCACGGTTTCACGACACAATATCGCGTTAGCCATCTTACTTCCTCCTCTCAGCATCTCCTACCGCTATGGTTGTTGCAGCGTAAGATCATTTGTATCTCTATTGATCTCTTTCTATTTTACTAGATTTGTGTATTTCAATTATTTTTTTCAAACATTGCAGTTTCCAGTTCTAGTATGCACGTTGTTAACAATCTTAGGGTATGTCCCTGGAAGTCTTCTCGCCGTCGCCGATCTATATCTTGGTGGTGAACGTCAATCATGGTATGAAGAGTACTCAGAATTTTTAAATTGATGTAAAATATCCGTACTAATTTATGATCTTCTTCATCTTGTTTTGGATTGTTGTACTATTCTACATTTTGTTTTGAATTGTTATATTATCAGTGTAATTTAATTTAAACGAACTTAGTTTCAACTTTCGTGGATCTTGGTTTGGTTTTAATTTCTTGGTGAGTTTGTGATCTACTTTGTATATACTACCTCCGTTACAGGTTATGTGCAACGATTAGACATTTTTCCCTCTCTGCTTTATGTCAAATCGTTGCACATAACCTGTAACGGAGGTAGTATGTATTAATATTCATCAAATACAAAAGTTTGTGTACAATTTGGACGACATTATATATACTCAATTCTCTCTTATTTAACCAAGTTATTATAAGAGTATATGAAGTGAACGAACAAAATTGCTTGTAATTTCTTGTGAAAGGATAACAATAAAAAGCTACTAACATATGCAACCTAATCACAACTTGAAAAAATAAGATAAAAAAGAATTGAAAGAGGTTTAAAACTTATAATTACTATATATACTCGTTTCTCAATATTTACAGTACATGATAGACTATTTGTACTATTTGTATACAAACTTTGACCATATTTATTCTTACTAATGTATAAAGATATAATTTTCAATATTTTTATTTTTGTTGAGTTAATCTCAATATATATTTTCATAAAATAATTTTTTTTTTTTTTATAAATTTTAATAAAGCATAACTAAAGATATTACAATTAGGTAACCAATATAAGAACTTATTTTTCTTGAATAAAACTTATATGGTTTTATTAGACTTAAAATAAATGAAAATAAGGTGAACTAAATAGACGACCCTTATGAATCCAAGATCCGCAAACCATGTGATAACCTTTTGAACAAATTAGCCAATTGAAACCGATCGAGGACTCAATACACTTAGTATACCTAGTCGAAGTTTGTATTACTCGAAGTCTATCTATTATGCTCAAACTATTTGGACGATGTTTCCTACAAGTAATACTCTGAACTTGGTAATAAAAAAAATTGTAGATAGAAGTCATAGAAATATTAGAGTTAGGTTAGATTAAATGTGTTCACATAAAAAAAATAAAAACAAAATCAATTTCAGATTTTGATATGTGTACACAATAATTTACGACTTAATTTAATATAGACCTAATCTGAACTCGCCAAACTTGATCTAGACACACACCTCTATTGGGTGAATGCCCGAATGTGTCCTCGAATTTAAAAAGCTGCTCAAACACCTTCAATCTGTCCAAAAATGAACATACTCTCACGTCCACCATTAGAAGAAAACCCAACGGAGTCAACCCACAACCCGGACTGGGCTGGGTTAATTCACGAGTGCTTAATCAATATCTTCTCACGTCTTCCATTAGAGGATAGATGGAAGGGAGCTATGCTTGTCTGCAAGCCATGGATGGAAGCTTGCCAAGATTCACCTCTCATCAACAACTCGTTTGATCTTGAATGTTACTTTGAGACATATACTGATTCAGCTCATTGGTGGACTCCCGAATTTGAGAGCAAGATCGATGCGATTCTTATATCTGCGGTTAATTTGAGTTATGGGTTGTTGAAACGAATTCGTGTTAGCCATTGCTCTGATCACGCCCTCATTTTTGCTGCTCAAAGGTTGACTTTTTTTTTTTTTTCCCCTATTCTTTTCCTTTTAATTTCCAATTTTTGTATTTTTTTTTGGGTTAGTTATGATATCCTTGCTCCATTTTGTAAATTAAGTATAGCAATTTGATGTGATATTGACGGGATTTGATCCGAGGTCTTAAATAACAACAAGCAAGTTGACATTGAGGATGAACATGAACCTATGATTGGTAAGATCGAAGATTATAAAGAAAATGTACTGTCAAATGTATGATTGAATAAGTTGTGGATGATTGAAATTCTATATATATGATTGGTTTACTATATGATGGAATGAGGTGTAGATAGATGAATTCCTTATAATCGAAATTTCTATTTAGTTACTTGCTATAATCGAATCGGGCGTATACTTAGATACTAGAACTTTAATAATGATGTTTGAGTTTGATTGCCCTGTTTACAGATGCCCAAAACTTGAGGTTCTTTCCATCAAAAGCAGCCAAAGTGTCTCTGATGCGACTATCATAGAGGTGTCTAAGAGATGCCCTTTGCTGAAAGAACTCGATATGAGCTTCTGCCATAAGATCACTTATATATCTTTTCCATCAATCGGGAGGAACTGTCCTCGTCTGAAGTTACTGAAACGCAATTTTATGAACCTGCAGGATTCTTCGCAGTATAGGGGAATTGTACCAAATGAATACATCGATGCTTGTCCCCAAGGTTTTGATTCCGAAGCTGCTGCCATTGCTGGATCCATGCCTAATTTGCTGAGTATCGATCTTATGAATTCCGGGTTGTCAGGTAAAGGCCTCGCTTTGATTTCTGAAGGCTGTTTGAACCTGGAAACTTTGGATCTGCGTGGGTGTGATAACCTGAGTACTCAAAATCTTATATCTGTGTTGCCTTTGGTAATGTAAATTACTTGTACTAATTTATGATCTTCTACATTTTGTTTTAAATTGTCATATTGTTAATGTAATTTAACTTAAACTTAGTTTCAACTTTCATGGATCTTGGTTTGGTTTTGATGATTTCTTGGTGAGTGTAGTGATCTACTTCGTAAATGTATTTGTATTCATCAAATTTAAAAGTTTGCGACTCTAAATACTCTCTCTGTATTTTATTACTTGCTCCGATTCTCCCTTTCACGCATCCCGATACATATCTTTGCTCAATAATATATTTAATTATCAATAAGTATAAATTGTAGCAAATGAAATTAATAATAATCAATAACTTAATACTAATTAAAATATACACGTGAGTGACACATGTCATATCCTGGTAGGGATGACAATGGGTCGGATCTGGATCGGGTCTGGATGGACCCAGATCCAGATCCGTTTTTGTGTCTAGGATCCAGATTCGATGGGTCCAACGGATTCGGGTCCAAAACGGCTCAAAGCCCGTTGGGTTGACCCGAACTCAAAACTTTGGGCAAGGGTTGAACATTTCTGGACTCGTAACTTGAATTGACCCAATCCGAGATGACCTATGACCCGATCCTAATTGACAGGTCTACATAGTAATAAAATTCCATTAGATTGTGAAGTATATTATTTTAATTGATTAGTATATGTTATAAATGGATGTTTTACGTTTTGAACTAATTCCTTCGCTCCAAAAAAATATTATGATATAAAAAATAAATTTATATGATAATTTTTTTAGAATTATAATCTAATAATTTTTTTGAATAAAATTATAATTCAATTTGTACATATGAAATAATTGTATTTTATCGAAAATAAAACTCTTAACAAACAATTTAATCCTAAAATTCTATCAAAATAAATTTTAAACTAACTTTTTTTTTTATCTTATGAAATCTATTTAAATCTATCCAACGTGGCACGACATTTGACGAAAAGTTAAAACGTCAAGTGTCGCTGCCTCGTGACCTGGCTAAAAGTTTAGCTTTATATATTAGTTATATGATTATATTGGCATAATTACGAGGCAGGTAAGTAGCTTTAATTAAAGACTTATTTCATTAATTTTGTTGATTTTGCGAATTATCGTTAGTTAGGGTTTTAAATTCGAATTAGGGTTTTTTTATTAAGGGGTTTAATTAATCCTAGCAATGTTTTGTAGGATGGAGGTAGCAGTAATGTCGAGGGGTCAGAAGTGCTTTGTGGTCTTCCAATTGCTGTTAGGACCTCATGGACACATGAGAATCCAGGGAGGAGGTTCAAGACTTGAAAATTGAATGACAAATGAGAGGAGAGAGAATTTTTTTCACTTACCCTTTCACTTGGCCAAAATTAACCCACAAATTGAAGCATTCAATTCGTGCCTGCCATGGCAGACTTTCTTCATAGAGCTATAATGGTGAGGTGAGCAAGACAGAGAGGAGTAATTGAGAGGAGAGAGAAATAAACTGAGTTGGAGGGAAAGAAAGGGAAAAAATTAGAAGGGAGGGGGGTAAACCGGCGCACGTGCCTCACATGAGATAGAAAACGCCGTAAAACCAAGTCAACTGAAACCGCCCTCAGGTGTGATTTTGCAAAAATTATCTGGTATTAGGTGTTGACCAAAAAAATAATAATAAAATAAAATAAGATTATAAGGTGTTTCTTCACAATAAATCAGTTTTAGAAGGTGTTATCTGATAAAATTTCCTCTAATTTAATTTAAACTTTGTTTCAACTTTCATAGATCTTGGTTTGGTTTTGATTTATTGGTGTGTTTTGTGATGTAAATGTAACAATATTCATCAAGTTTAAAAGTTTGTGACACTATAATTTTTCAATTATCTCTTATTTTCCAATTATAAGAGTATCTGGAGTGAATGTCACGTGGTTATGCAACCTGATGATGATCACAACTAGAAAAGATTAGATTAATTTTTAGCGGAGAAAGTAATAAACAGCGCTCGCACATCACTGGCGGAAGTGTGGGACAAGGGGGGACAGTTGTCCCTCCCACTTTCCAAAACGAAAAATCGTTTAAATCCAATATTTTGTACATTTTGTAATGTCCAATGGAGTTGGCGCGGCGGTCAATGTGAGTTGCATGTGTTTGTGGTCTAAGGGTTAGGAAGGGATTGAGGTTCGATTCAACATTAAGGTTTTAACATTACTCCATTTATTACTTATTTGAATAATTGTTATTGTAGTTTTTTTTTATTAAAAAAAAAAATCTTTATAAGATAATATCACTTCAATAACAATTACTCCATTACGTATTTGAATCATTGTGATTGTAGTTTTGCATGAACTTTACCCGAAATTACGATTGCAATAGCCTAATAGGTAATTATGACAAGTACTACATTTAAATATTTATATTATTTATTGTTTGAAATTTAAAAAAATTAAGAACTCCTAATCAAATAGTTTATGGTGAAAACATGGTACATGATGTTGATTTTTTAGCTAAATACTCCGTACTATAAGGGTTAGGAAGGGATTGAGGTTCGATTCAACATTAAGGTTTTAACATTACTCCATTTATTACTTATTTGAATAATTGTTATTGTAGTTTTTTTTTATTAAAAAAAAAATCTTTATAAGATAATATCACTTCAATAACAATTACTCCATTACGTATTTGAATCATTGTGATTGTAGTTTTGCATGAACTTTACCCGAAATTACGATTGCAATAGCCTAATAGGTAATTATGACAAGTACTACATTTAAATATTTATATTATTTATTGTTTGAAATTTAAAAAAATTAAGAACTCCTAATCAAATAGTTTATGGTGAAAACATGGTACATGATGTTGATTTTTTAGCTAAATACTCCGTACTATATATTTTTATGTTATAAAACTTTAACTATTTAAGTAGATTTTTTTCTCTAATATAATACTTTTGTCAAACTAAGCTATGATTTTCAGTTGTCCCCTCGATTTAAAATTCCTGGCTCCACCACTGTCGCACATGTTATTTTCTGCTTCGTCACAACCTGAAAATTAAGAAAGACTTGAAAATTTTATTATTGTAATCAAGAATTGATGGTTTCATAGGATATTTCAAATGCAAAAAATGCTTGGTATCCTCAACTAATTCACGTAGGACTCAAATGATAACTAATATTTTCAACGGAGTATGCAAATAAAAATAATTTAAAAAATGAAAAGAAGTTTTAAACTTACCATACCCATTTCTAAGTCAATATATACATTAGTTGACTTTTTGTACTATTTTATACTAACTTTGATTGTATTTTATCACAAATAAATATAGATAAATTTCAGTATTAGTATTTATCTAATTAATCTCAATATATATTCTCATAAAATAATTATTTTATAATTTTTAATAAACCAAAATTCAAGATATTAATAATTAAAGTAGTGTATAATGTTCCTTCAAAAAAAAAAAAGTAGTGTATAGTTAAGTATATATATGGTTTTCAAAAAAAAAAAAAAGTATATATATTGATAAACTTATATAGGTCACGAGTTCGAGCCCTACTAGATACATTTGCTTGGGAGTAAGGGTCCTCCTCCCTCTACTCTCAAGCATTGGCTAGTGGATCTAGACTGACTTAATATGTAAGAGGTGTCGGTTCACTAGGGCATCTTACTTTTTTTTTTTTTTGACAAACGTATATGAAAATATAAAGGAAGACGCAAAGTATATATAGTAGAGCAATAAGTATGAATCCATGATCCACAAACCCCATGATAACCCTTTAAAACCTAGGACTCAATACACCTAGTTGAAGTTTGTATTAGTTGGAATATATTATGCTTTATGCTCTAATCCTTTGGAGTTTGGACAATGTTTCCTACAATGAGTAGTAATTTACCGAATACCCTGAGCTTGGTAAATCGTAACATTAAAAAAAACGTAGATAGAAGTCATAGTACTATTAAAATCATGATAGAGGTGTAAAAAATTAGCCAACCAATCCAAAATAAGATTTTAAATTCTAATTTCAATATATATAGACACAAGAATCTAACATGAGTCAAATTTAAATTAGACCCAACCCAAATTCACCAAACTCAATCTAGACACTGAAATTGACACCTATCACAGGAGGTGCACAAATGTGAAATGCCCTTTCGTTTGTGAAATACCCACTTTGCCCCCTTCAATTAATTTGATGAGTGCTAGTCGTATTAAGAAAGCATTTGCACGTTTGTCCTGGCATGGTACCAAATGCTATCATTTTGAAAAGAGAAAACGTGTTAAAAAGATAAATTCGGGAATTTGAGTACCATGACACGACACATTTGACCGTTTTTACGTGTTTTTCAAACTACATTACTTTTGATCCGTAACTTGGAATAAGGCATATAAATATATCGTTAAAAAAAATCTTTAAGTCTACTTTCCAACTCAATTAGAATTAGGTTAAAATTATTTGTATATTTTAAGATATGGTCGTTTGAGTGAAGCAAGAGGTGTCAGTTTTGGGCGGAGTTTTAATGTTTTGCTCATATCTTCTTCGTTTTAAACCGGAATTAGACTTATGATATGTTGTTGGAAAACTTATTTCAAGACCTTTCCAACCAAATAAGATTTGGATTACAAATATGAGGCACAAATATCATACCTGCTTGTTTTTGGGATTATGGTTTAGGAAGATGGAGTAGGAATTGGGTTTAAGTAAATTTAATGGAAATGTGTTGGGCTAAGGCGATAGTTTTAACACTCTGTAAATTGAATACGCAACCTGACCAATAACGGCGAGGAAAGGTTGTTCATCACTGGGTATGGATTTGGGAGAATACATTTTTATGTGTCATCTATTCCTAATTTTAGTTGAGTTTAATTTGTTATTCATTTAACCTTTTCCCTTTTTTCTATTAAATTATTATCCAACAGTTATCAATGTTTATTATGTAGTATTGGTTTATGAATGATTTTTTTTGTTTTTCAGATACTAAAACTGGATGCTGGTAACGACCATCTTGATGATTCTTGTGGATTGATGCTTTGCACAACCTCTACATCTTAGGGTTTTGTCATTGAGGAGGTGCACACTGTCTGATTTGGTGTTGAAAAAATTTATTGTCAATGTGAAATGACTCGCATCACTAAATATAAGTGGATAATACATAAGTGAAAGTTTAATGGGAAACATAGTATCTACTGAGATTGACCTTAATAAAAGCAAATTGTATCCCGACCGCTGTCAATTGAAACACATCATCGTTCTCATGTGTTTCAAAGTAAACTGATTAAATAGTTTTATCTTTCCTGACTTTTATTGGTACTAATCTGCTTACACTAGGTAATTCCTTTACTCTTTTAGATCTCTTTATTATATGTTATGCTCATCTTGTCCAAATGGTAACTTATTCATATTTTCACACTTTTACTTTTACAAAATAACTGATCAGACCATGAACTTGGTTGGTCAATGTTGTCCAAACCTGTTTGAAATATGTGTTTCTTAACTTATATATGTAATTCTAACGTTACACAGCCTTCGAGAGCTAACAATAATCAATTTTATATTAGAATTTCAATTGTAGAGTATATTTGCCCTAATTATGACAATTGGGTTCTTCCATTTTTTTTTTTTTTTAACATAAACCTGCTCAGTGACTTGGTGAATCCAACATTTTTTAACCTAAATAAATTACAATAAAAATATTTATAAATTAACAAATCACATGAAAATATAAATATAAAAACTCCATCTCTATTTTTTTTATAAGAATATACTCCATCCCAATTTATGGCATACCACAGAAATTGATATGTAGGCCTTTGTGACTTTTTGTAATACCCGTATTTTTGAAATCGTATTTTCTAATTACTTAAATAATTAGTATTCTCTTAAAAGGTATTTAGTTTACTATTTGAATTTTGGACCCAAAATGACATTTGAATTTTGGCGCCAAAAGTATTTTAAAACTCAAATATTATTTTTGGATAAATAATAAATCATAACCTTCGTTACGTACATGTGGGGTGTCCGGAGCTAGCAATAATAGATTTTAGCGAATAAACTCGAGTCGATGATGAAGCCGTGGCTACATTCATTGAATTTACTGGTCCTAGATTGATTAAAATCAATTTTTATGATACCAAGTTAGTTGAACATCACACTGTCAATGTTGTTGCTTGTTTTTGTACCAAAATAAAACATGTAAAGACCTCTCTCGTTGCTGTATTAATCAAGCTGATGTTGGAAAGATCATTGAAAGTTGTCCTACACTTGAAAAGATTTCATACATGGCTGTTTTGAGATTTGTTTGATGTCATAACTTTTTTTTGGTTGATTAATTAATCCTTTTTTTGTGGGTTTGTTCACCATTTGGTGTTGAATGTTGAGTGATTCTAATGTATACTATATGTTCTTATGTATAATAAATAAATAAATAAGACCATACATTGAAATTTTGATTAGTAGAGCCTTCCATGATTGTGGCGGCGACGGATTGATTGGTTGTGGTGTTTGTTGAGGAGAGATAATTAAGGAGAGGATAGGAGGTAGGGTAAGATGAGGACTGAGGAGAGATATTTTAATAGATATTCAAAAACCAAACTTTCCTAGGATTAGGAAATAGGAATATATCATCAAATCCAATCCTACAATATTTTGGTTTGGTAAGTAACGGCTATTTGGGCTTCTTAATAATCCGAGGGAACGTTGGTAATTTCAACCCAAATTGGGCCGAGTTAATTCACCACTCTGGGATGGTAAGTAACGCCTAATTGGCCTTTTTTTTATCAACATTCTCTCGCGTCTGCCATTAGAGGATAACATCAAATCCCCCTTGGGAGGAACTCAAATCCGAAAATTTTGGTTATTTGAATCTAATTCGAAAATAAAAATTAAAATATATTAATTACAACGATAACATCATGTACCAAATATCAACAACAAGCTAAGCAACAACTTTCACCAAGTTAGCCGCAACCTTTCAGTAGGCAATCCAAATTTGGGTCCATATTCATACATGCTTAATTTTACAATTCAGTTTTCAGTTTAGTTGGATCCTTTTTGGGTTATCCGAAAATTAAAATTTTAAAAAAATCTCAATCTGATTTGATCCGAATTGATAATTCGTTTTGGATTAGATTGGATTTTAGTTTTAATCCGAATTATGAACACCCCTACATCTGTGTGGGTGTGATAACTTGACTACTTAAGATATTATAATTGTGTTGCCCTTGGTAAAGATGGCACTGGGTCAGGCCGACCCGAAGCCCGGCACGACCCAGCACGAAAAAAGCACTGCGACACGGGCATGAAAAAGCACGGCACGACACGGTACTATGTATGTGGGTAGTGGGTCGGGCTTGGGACGCCTTTATTTGTGAGAAGCACAACAGTACAAGGCACGACATGATTGGGCCCGACACGAAAAAACATGCTAAATCAATGCAATTTTGCTAAGGCACGCAAGCCCAGCACGGAGGCACGTGGGCCTAGGCCGTGCACGGTCAACCTTTTGAAAACTTAGGCCCAGCCCGGCACTGAGGCACGTGGGCCTAGGTCGTGCACGGGTCAACCTTTTGAAAACTTAGGCCCAGCACAGCACGACACAAAACTCGTGGGCCGAGTCATGGGCCAGCCCTAACTAACCCCAAAGCACGTGGGCCTGGCACGGCCTAGAGCCATCTTTAGCCTTTGGTAATGTAAAAAACTCATACTAATTTATGATCTTCCACATTTTCTCTTTTAATTGTTGTATTATTCTACATTTTGTTTTAAATTCAATGTAATGTTTTTTATGTTTTAAAACTTGATTTGGTTTTGTTATTCCAAAGAAGAAGAAGAAAAAAAAAATACACTTTGGGAGCAGAGAGAAAGAGTAAGGGATTCTACCCCAAAATGCCTCTAATGGGGATAATCTTACAAGCTCATGGTTAAGAGATGTAAACTTCCCTACTAAACCAAGCTTTGCTTGGCACATGATAAATTGATAACCAATTGAAACCTAGGATTCAATATACCTAGTTGAAGTTTGTACTAGTTGGAATGTATTATGCTCTAATCTTTTGGAGTTTGGAGTCTTTGGACAATGTATCATATTACTCATTCCGTTCCAATTTTAGAAAAAATCGAAACGTTGGACTTTTTCACTATTCATGTACTATTAGCTTTGACCACAATTAATGTTTTACTAACATAATAAAAATACTAGTTTTGTGCCCCGTGCGATACCCGGGTTGTTTATTGAATTTTAGGATAAATTTATAATCTATGTCAAAATTTAAAATATATCATTGATACAAAATTAGTTCGGAGTTGATGTGTTTTTCTGACGATTTACTATCTCGTAAACATGTAATGACTAATAATAATGTTGGTGAAAGTGTTCGCTTTAATACATTAAAAAAATAATTAAAAAAATTAGCAAAAAAATAAACTAAATAAAATAAATGTTCAAAGCACGTCAGATTGACCCGAACACAAAACTGTGGGCAAGAGATGATCATTTCTTGACTCATAACATGAAGTGACCCAATCCGAGATTGACCCGACCCTAATTGACAAGTATCCATTCTATAATATATTGTGAAGTATATAATTTTAACCAATTAGTATATATTATAAATAGATGTTTTACGTTTTGAACTACTTCCTTCACTCCAAAAAAATTATGATATAAAAAATAAATTTATATGAGAATTTTTTAGAATTATAATCTAATAATTTTTTTGGATAAAATTATAATTCAATTTGTACATCTGAAATATTGACATTTTATCGATAATAAAACTCTAAACTAACAATTTTATACTAAAATTATATCCAAATAGAATTCTAAATCAACTAACTTTTTTATCTTATGAAATCAATTTAAATCTATCTAACGTGGCGCGACACTTGGCGAAAAGTTAGAACGCCAAGTGTCTTAATGTCAACCTGGCTAAAAGTTTAGTTTTATATATTAGTTATACTAGTACGTACCTCGAGCGATGCCCCGAGTTCCCTCTGCAATATATATCTTTATGTTTTAAAAATCCTTACATTAATTCGCAACTTATAAAGACGGGTTAAAGTTGTGTTAAAAGTATTTAAAAGTTATAATTATTTATCTTATGCGTGTCACACTAATTCATATTTGTTGTTTACATGACGTGACACTTGACGAAAAATCAAAATGCCAAGTTTTGTTTTGGTTGATTAAAGTGTATCATAAATAGTTTTGTACAACTTTGTAAATTTTATGATATATATTTAATTTAACATATTTATAAGATATATTTTTAAAGTTACAATCTACTTATTCATATGGAAAATTAGAATTTCTATTAGAAATAAAACTATAAATAACTTTTTTATCAGAAATAAAACTCTTAATAACTTTTTCATCTTAAAAAAATCTATCTTAAATTCTCTTATCTAGCGTTAGAGGTATCATACTAAATCTTATATGTTGCCTATGTGGCATGACATTTGGCGAAAAGTTAAAGTGTGACCTGACTAAAAGTTTAGCTTTATATATTAGTTAAGTTAATATGATTATATGATTTTATTAGAGGACAAATAGAATGGAACACCCACTTTGTGAAATACCCACTTTGTCCCCTTGAATTAATTTGATGAGTACTACTCGTATCAAAAAACGTAAAAACCATTTGCGCAAGCAAATCTTCAATCTGTCCAAAAATGAACACGGAAGATAACCCAACCGAGTTAACCCACAACTCGGATTGGGCCGAGTTAACTCACGAGTGCTTAATCAACATCCTCTCACGTCTGCCATTAGAGGACAGATGGAAGGGACCTATGCTCGTCTGCAAGCCATGGTTGGAAGCTTGCAAAGACTCTTCACTCAACAACTCCCTTGATCTTGAACCTTACTTTGAGTCATCTACTGAGTCAACTCGTTGGTGGTCTCCCGAGTTTCAGAGGAAGATCGATGCGATTCTTAAATTCATAGTCGATTCGAGTGATGGGTTGTTGAAACAAATCCGTGTTAGACATTGTTCTGATCATGCCCTCATTTTTGCTGCTCAAAGGTTGTTTCTTTTTTCCAGTTTTTGTACTCTATTTTTTGGGGGTCTTAGCTTGATCATTCATTTGAATACTTTCGTATTAAATATAGCAATTTACTGAAGTATTGAATCTCGGAAGTTGTGATGTTGATGGGATTCGATCCGATTAATTACCAGCCTACTAACATGAACATGTGATTTTGGTGTTCATCTTTATTATATATGGAATTATAAGGAATTGCTGGATGGTGTGGAAAATGGAAGTGGGTATTTTTTTTTTTTTATAATTTATTTGGATTTTGAATTTATGTAATATGGGATTAATTAGACTAATTGATAAATGATGTGATAACTAAAGTATGGTTTTGAAATCAGGCATAGTTTGTTTAACAGGAAAGTAGTTTGTAGCACTTTGTAAAGAGGGTTTTGAAGGAGTTGCCTACTATATGAATATTTAAAAGGATTTGGAGTCATTAATCTGGGAGTTTAATGATGATATATGTAGGGTTTTGTTATACATTCATGGTTGAGGCTTGTTGTTGGACCTTGGACATCTACAATATCTTAGTGTAGTGCATGCACTTTAGGCTTTGTATGCTGAAGAAAGCCTCTTTTGAAGTTTTGAACTTGATGGCCAATTTGGTAGCTGGTTATAAATAGTGCTAATGGAAATGAATATACGTGTAATATGATAATCCAAACAACATCCTAATGTCAATGGTAAATTAGTAATGCAATTTCATCCCTAAACATAGTGTTTTTCTTTATATATATTCATATTTCATAACCACCCCCAAATGGTAATGGATGGTAATAAAATTTTGTGAAGAAAAAGAGAGAACTTGTAGTGAACTAGCATTACCATGGTAATGAAAGTTGATTTTTCTTACAAATTTATATACAAATTTGTTTTTACCAAATAGGCTGTGAGTACTTGACACAATGAATATCAGACTCTTTTTTTTTAAAAAAATAAAATAAAATTATTGACTAGGTGTTTGGCTCATGGGAATGGGGTTTTATGAACTAATATATGAATTGGGGAGGGGGTTGCTATGAGTTAGATTAGTGACAGGAATTAACTAGGCAAAAATAGATAGCAAAATATAAGAATTGGCTTAAGGTTTCCAAACCGACCTTCCTACTTTCTACCCTTAAATGCTTAAGGCATAACAAACTCTCTCACAGCTTCTGGATTCCTTCCCTTTAGATTTTGCTGATAACAACTTAAAATAATAACTTTTATTCCCTCCTCTTGACGTGTGAATTAGCTAGTAAGATGCTGCCGAAATGGTCTTCTCTTCTTGTTGGTGATAGTCACCGGTGGTTTAGACTTGGTGCATAGTGCCGGGGAAGGTAGGGGTGGGGGATGATTAATCAAATTTTTTCCAGTCCTTAGTCCATAATTGAAATATGTTGAAAATTTAATATTTTGTGGTTAATAAATATTCTTATACCCTTGTATGTGATCATTATATAATGTTGTTTTTTTTAGCCTGATACATATGCCTCCATTCCCCAACCCTGAGGATTGTAGATTGTGGGGATTGTAGACCACCGTTTTCTGCCCAGTTGATTACTTACTACTGCACCTATTTTCCCTAAACACACCACATGAAGGTCTTATACTCTTATGTCGTATTTAGCTCTTGTTGCCTATCCTTTGTGATAAGCCTTGTCTAACTATTATGTGGTACACATGCTATGTTGGTTGAAATTCCACTCTTTTTGTGATATGAATCTTTTTGTGATACTTGGACAGTTGGACTTGCCAAGTTTTCCATGGTGATTGATGGACTTCATTTTGTACTTTTTCTGTTGTGATTAACCCTTGCATATCTAAGTATATCTCAACACTATTGCTAACATGATCAGTTGGTCACTGGTAGAGTAGTAATAACTATATCTCGTTAGTAGGAGCTAGAGCTAGTATCTCTTCCTTCTTACCCCCCCCCCCCTTTTCCCCTCTCTTTTCTGTTCCTGACCTTGCGCAATATCCACTAAAAACTTCTGAGTAAAGAATAAGAGAACATTCTTGCTTCTGTGAAAACGATCAGGAAAGTTATAAAGTCCCTTGTGAATTCTGTGAGTGGTGTTTCAGTTTGATTGCTTTGTTTACAGATGCCCAAAACTTGAGGTTCTTTCAATTAAAAGTAGCCAAAGTGTCTCTGATGTGGCTATGACTGAGGTGGCCAAGAGGTGCCCTATGCTGAAAGAACTCGATGTTAGCTTCTGCCATGAGATCTCTCATGAATCTCTATCATCAATTGGAAGAAACTGTCCTCATCTGAAGGTACTAAAATGCAATTTCATGAATCTGCTGGATTCTTCACAGCATAGGGGAATTGTACCAAATGATTACCTCAATGCTTGCCCCCAAGACTTTGATTCTGAAGCTGCTGCCATTGGTAAATCCATGCCTAATTTAGAGAATCTCGAGCTAAAGTTTTCCAGGTTGTCAGGTAGAGGCCTTGCTATGATTTCTGAAGGCTGCTTAAACCTGGAATTTTTGGATCTGAATGGGTGTGCAAACTTGACTAGTCGTGATATTTTAAATGCATCCTCAAATTTGAAGAACTTGAAGACAGTTTTGAAACCAAACTTTTATATACCAAGATCAGTGTATCACACTGAGAGGTATGGTCACTGGAGGCTGTATGATGAACGATTTCAAACAGATATTTTTAGGATATAAATGCCGACCCCTTATAGGTAGGGGCACCAGTTTGACTGTAGGCTAGAATTTACTTCCGGAGTTGCTTCTTACAGCTGATATAATTGGAACGATACAGAGGCTAGAATTTACTTCTACAGCTGTGTTTATGAAAAGATGTTGAAGCTCATCTCCGCTCTTGTCTGAATGATTTCTGTTGTGATAATACCAGCACTCACCTGAGTTGTATACTTGTATTGTTATTTGTTTTCGCAATATTTGTTTGTGACTACCATGTAAAGCTCATTTCTGGTTTAGCTGTTGTAAATACTGATGTTGTTCATTAAATGAATAAACGGTCAAATATTCTGTGTTCTGATATAATTTGATTCTGAAATATCTGCAAGATTATTCTTTTTGCAGCTCAAATTATAAGCTAGATTTGTCAACATGTATGGACGGTTATTAAGTAGACACCGGATACAGCCCTGGCCAACGATTGCTATTGGTTTTATATACAGTACGGAGTATACTGTTTTGAGGTGGTACACAAGCAAAAACTTGGCTTTATCAACCTTGTGAAACATCAAAGTGTCCTGATGCACAAGAACTTTTGTCAAAACTTCCTTAAGCCAATTTGTTGATGTAGAGTGAACCTTATACCCATTTCTGGCACAACTAACACCTTGTGCAAATAATAAAGCATTAAGCATCCCACAACCTTGAAAATTAGTGACCTTATAATACATTTGATTTGCATCTTGCCACTTTTACCATTGTCCCTAATGCTCCCCCAACATCTTATGATGCTTCCTTTGCAAAATATGCACAATTGTAATCCAGTGTAACATCCAATTAAATTAATTCTATCCAAAAAAAAAAAGGTGAAATTTGAATTACTATAAGACCACTTTCAATGGTGAGCAAAAAAAATGTCCACCCACTATCTCTCTACCCACTTTCTCTCTCAACAAATCTGTTTTGCCCATGGGCAAATTTTTTTCACAATTTCTCTCCCAATGGTGAGCAAAAAAAAAAATGCTTGCCCACTACTCTCTCTCTTACTTTTTCAATACCTCACCATTACTTTCTCTCTCCTACACAACACTTCTTTATTTATTAATTTCATTTATATTTTAACAATATTACTCCAAATAAATAAAAACTAGTCTAAATTTGTGTAACTTATTTTTTTTTATTTGTGTCGTTTTTATCGTTAAAATAAATAATATGGAGGATTTATGGTATTTATGAAATTATACCAAAATATACCAAAATGCATGTCAATTTATAGAGAATTAAATTTTATAACCGTTGGTAATTTTAATTTTTTCTTTTTAATAAATATTTATTTCAGAATTTGCATTACAAAAAAATATAACCATTACAAATTGTGGGGCCCACCAGAGCACTATTCATCCTTTATTTTGCTCATCTCATGGGCAAAATAACAAATGCCCATGGGCATTTTCACTTTTGCTCACCATTGCAAGACTACTTCTACCAAAATGCCCACAAAAATGCCCATGAGCATTTGATTTTGCCCACCATTGTAAGTGCTCTAAGTAATTGATTGTTGATTTTAAATCATTAAGACAAAACTAATACAACCAACAAGTGTTTGGATCAGCTGATAAGAGAGTTGTTCTAACTTAATCTGAACTTTTTTCTTTTTAAAGCTAACTCCATAAATAACAATAGTTTTAAAGATAGTTTTTATCCCGATTAAGATTCGGACTTAACTTGACTAGAATTCGAATTACTTGTATTTAATAAACTTTGGATTACTGGGTGAGGCCCCAAATAAGAAAGGAATGCCCAACAAAATCTAGTTATATCTTGATGATGTGGTTGCAACTTCCAAGAACAAAACTTCACTAGGAGCCTCAACTATAACTCCAAATCCAAAAAGTTTACGACTTTCTTTTTCGCCGGAACTCGGTGATGACTCAGTAGTCCCGCCGCCTTATTGGTGATTGTTGTCGCCGGCCGCCGTGCTCTCCGATTGCCGGAAATCCATCTCATATATTCTGCAGCTTACACTCAGGTAAATTTGATTTCTCCTCATCAATTGCTACAATTTTTAAGCTTGATTTTCTGTCATCTTATTAATGTTAAACTTAGATTGTAATACCCAATTGATTAATTTGGGATTTCTTTACCCTGTTTTGAATATATTCTTTGATATATAATGCTTAGTTGAACTCAATTTTATGATATTTGGAATATTAGGTTTTATAAGCAGTTATCATCTTGCATTTAGTTGATTAAATTTGGGGATTGAAATTAGTGATTTAGTGATGTATGATTTGTTTATTTTAATAGCTGTATATTGATTTTGTTCGGATTGATGAATTTTGTAAGAGCCTTGTAATTTAACCCTATTAGATTGAATACCCTGCACTAATTTAGCTTTATATGATACAAACAGCTTAACAAGTGGTTGTTTCTACACTAATTACCATTTCCATTGTGCGCCGGGTGTATCGTACAACCTAAGGCTTATTTGCTTTCCCATTTTCTCATAGTCTAGAGCTTTTATTGAAGCTATTAGCAGAAAATAGGTGTATGTTTACTTATTAGTTAGTTTATGTTATAATGCACTCTTGCTGTTAATAGATGGGAATTGTAGTTTATCAGAATTTTTTTGCTCGATATCTTGTTTATGTAATATACATGTTTTTCTATTTTACTTGAATGTGATGGAACTCGACCTAGATGAAGGATATAAGATAGGGCCATGCGAATTGCGAAGGGTGGGGGGATGCTGGATGTTTAATGGATTAGTTGGGTGTTGAAACAAGCTGGATTTTTGTGGACCACCACTTGGTATATAAGTCTAACTATATCTCTTATGGTGGAATACAAATTAGGAACCTAATTCATTTTCTTAAGAGTTGCTTCTTGGTCTCCACTTTGCAATGGTGTCCTACCGCTTAGGCACGATTCCTGAGCCTCACCTTAGCACCAAACGCTAGAAGACATTGTCCATTTCAGAAAAGGCTATGATTACTTTTTTTTACTATTTCCTTCTCTTTGTGTCTTCCCATTTTGTGCAAGCTTGGATTAATGTAGATATTTAATTCTACCTCTGGTAGTTATGATGAATTGATGATACCAGATATTAGAATTACAAGGAATTTCCTTTCTTAGTTGTGTTGATCCTAAAGATGAATTGAGAGCAGGTGGTAGATTCAAGTTTTAATTTTTTCCTATTGTATAATCAAACTTTACTGTCATGTTTTATGAATGGAACTAAGTAGCAATTATCAATAAGCTGAGACTAAGGATTCCATTTTAGATGGTGATAATGGCAATATGTGATCATGCAACTACTGCATCTAAAGAAAGCTTGCAGGCTTGCAGCCTATCACTAAAATGAGCCAAGCAATGACCATATATGTCCAATTGTCCATATATGTGTTCTTCCAAATCTTCAATTTAAATCTATAAGTTCAGACATCATGGTCCACCTGTGGATAATATATGGAGGAAATGGGGTTGACAACTATGTTCAAATCTGAACTGAAGCCAATCGATTTGCATTTGCTAGGAGCCTAATAAAGAGTCCAAATCCTTATAGAGGAGGGTTGGACTTGGATACTGGTCTGACTTGTGTTCACTTGACCAGTCAATAGGCGGTATTTAGTATTTTTAAATATTGTTGTCTAAATGATTCTTATATCAAATAACCTAAACCATATCTTAGCCGTCCCCTTTTCTCATCACCTTCTTGACCTCCTTTCATCTCTCCAGCCTCCCTCCAATTTAGATCTTTCTTTGCTATTTTTTTCAGTTTTCATTCTTCCTCTCTTACTTTTCTTATTTCTTATCTCCTAAAGGAATAAGCGTCAAGACAGTATAATAATAGAGGTCATGCAGATTTACCAAAAAAAAAAAATGAAAATTTTACTAACGAAAACATCTCCTTCAACCGTCTTTAAACCCACTTAGCTGTATACAGGGTAAGGGATTTTTTTCAGATCTGAAACGTAGTTGATTACATCGTTGTACACCTTTTTTGTTATTTTTTTTTAAGAATTAAACCTATGTAAAGAATTAGGATTGTTTATATAAGTCATGGCCACCACAAGTTTGTACTTTGCTGTAGGTCTTAAAATAGTGAGCTACTGATGAAAGTTTTGATGGGTTTTGTGTTGACTAATGGGTTTACGTAGTAAAATTTTGGTTGTGCATATCATAACCACTGTACCATATGCTATATACTTATTCAGATTTCATAGTTGAACTCTAGCCATTGATTCTTTTTCACCACTATATCTAGAATGGTTGAAATATGGTGCTTAATTTGCAAGTTGGAATCATTTTAAAGTTTTGCCTTTTGTTGTGGTCTCTCTGATTGGGAATAATTCTGATTATGATATTGGTTAAAGGTAAAGGTGGCGGCTCAATCAATAGTAAAGTTATTCCTTTTTCTCCCCTTATTTTAGTAGTGGACTATACATAAAAGCGCCCTGTTCAGTTGTTCTAAATCACTAGAACTGAGTGGGACTTATAGCTTCTTTTATCTTCAATAGTTTCTGCGATTAAATATGGGCATCGTGTCTTTGCCATGAAACAACAAGATCGAGCCTTGCACCATGATTTGATTTCAGCTGCAAACCTTCTTTGGCTAGAGAGATTCTAGACTCCAACTTTAAATGTCTTGTGCTTCTCTGAAACTTATGACTCAGTACTTTGTGTTTTACTTTATTTATTAAAATTCTTAGAGATGGGGGTATAAATTGTTGCTTCATCCTTTCTTTTAGAGTCTTGTTCTTTGATTCTTTGGCCTAGCTTGTTCCAATCAGAAACACCTGTGTGTATGTGATTTAATTTCAATGGTGCCTGATAATTTTTTTAAGCTTGTCGTATGGACTAATCAGTCTCATTCCTCCAGTGATATTGACTATTGTGTGATTTATCGGCAGTTTGTTGTAAAACGTATGCTCAACATTTTGGCTTCATTTGATACAACAAGATGGAGCTGAAGAACCAAACTGAAACTCAAGAGAACACTCATGAAAGGGATGAAAAATCATCAATTGAGCTAAAGGTTCTGTTTTTTGCCAGAGCCCGGGATCTGACTGGGTTAGCTGATATGCCACTGGAGGTAAAATCTGGTTGCACAGCTCGTGATTGTTTAGATAAGATTGTCACCCAGTTTCCAGGTCTCGAAGAGTTACGAGGGTGCATGGTGCTGGCTTTGAATGAGGAGTATGCATCTGAATCTGCTATTGTTAAACATAGGGATGAATTAGCCATTATACCACCTATTAGTGGAGGCTGATCGTTCCTTGTATACATTTCACTTTTTATACTTTTGGGCCTTTTGATATTCTTGTAACTCCCTTGTATAAAATAAAATGAAAAAAAAATCCCTTGACCAATGTAATATGCAAGCTATAAACTTTGTTGCATATTTTCATTTATGCTTCCTGTGTAAACAGACTGTATACCGAACATGCTCTCTGAATCAAGCCTTTGAGGGAATTTTGGAAATTACTCTGCGAGGGTTGCTAATAAGTTCGTAAGTTCATTAACTTTTCGGTATTCAAGATAATTCTGGAAAGATATTGGTTAAGAGTCCGGCTAATTGCCTAATATTTATGCAACATTTAGAAATGATAGATAGATTGTGACCTTAATCGAGAAGCACAGCTGCAGTTCGCTCATCAAGGGTACCTTGGACATTTCACCTCGTCAAACTAGCCAGTCTACTAGAAATTTTTCTTCTTTACATTATATAACTATACAAGGTAGTAGTATATAATGTATATTGGCCGAAAACATTGAAGCAATGAAGCTTCAACACAGAACATAATAAGAGTAGAAGGCAGATATATCACAGCCTGTAACAGAGATAAATGATCAACAAGAGGAAACCATGGAACCAAGATGTTTGTGGTTTTACAGCATCTGATTTTCTACGGTGAATTATACCCAATGGTAAAAATCTTGGTCGTCTTACCATGAAACCGAGCTTTCGAAAATGCAATGAACAACAACTGCTGTTACTGTCAACACCATTTGTTTCCATGCTGCTGCTAATTACAGGATAGTTCTTCACACCCTGACGAGTTACTGATGGGGTGACATGATCAGATTGCAATATGAATAAGGCTGAGCATAGAAAGAGCACACAGGATCGACGCCTCAACCACATTGTCATCCCCTTGGTTAGTGAGAAGGGAGATGAGCGCGTATGGTTAGAATTTGGATGTTGTGAAGGAATGAGAGAAGGGGCATACAAATAGGAAGACAGTTAATTGGTTTAGGTTGGCAATCTAAATCATGTCATAATTATAGCCATAAGCCATCTATATTAGTGACATTACAACTATAATCATAAAGAATGCTAAGGTAATTAGCTAGTACTCAATAATTTTTTTTGGAATTTAGACATATTTTTTTGCTAACAGAGTTACAGAGGATCGGATCATGTAAGAGATACAACAGTTGCATTATCATCTGCTATATCCCCGGCAGATGACTCATGAAGGTTATATACTTGTTTAAAAAAGTATACCAGTATATTTTACATGAAGGTTGTATACTTGTATACAAGTATGTAAATTTGTAACTGTACTATAGTGTTCGGGCCTAGTCCATTGTCGTAAGCCCATTGACCTGGAATTACGAAAATACCCCTCCATGATCCAGCCCATCATTAGTCAGAGCAAAGTACGAATTTACCCTTAATCTGTCCAATTAAGTACAACTTTTGCCACCTGAAAGTACATCTATAAATAGCTCTCCAATCATTAATGATAATAACTTTTTCCTAATTCTCTAACCTTCTTTCTCTACTTTCTCTCTCTAAAGTACTCTTTCTCTCTCCACTTTCTCTCTCTGGAAAGTACATTCGCTGACTTAAGCATCGGAGGGGCTTTCTCTTTTGCAGGCCTAGCTCTCGGACAGCAAGACATAGCTGAGGAGAATTCGGACATTCATTGGACATAGCTCTAGGACATCTTGATTTCATTACCCTAACACCGAGGAGTATTCTGTTTCCAGAAACATATAGTTTTGTTAAGAGAGAATTTTTATTGACAATGGTTCTAGTGATTTTATTTCTTACATTGCCCTTTCCTTCCAAGGGATTTAAGTACAACTAATTAAAATTAGGTATAAATCTAATCATGTTAGGTATCAACCACTAGCAAAGCCTAATATGCCTAATAACGTTATTAATAATTATAAACCAAAATTAAACTAAAAGCTAATGATTGTTCCAATTTCCACATTATAAACTTTTTGCCTACAATAAGATAATAGGAGTTGTCTAACATTAATTTCCCAAGCTGGAATAGTTGAGTTACAATATCTTATATGCATGATTAAAAAGATGTTCATAGAACATACTTGGTACGTTTTATGTACGTTTTCTCTTTATACATAACTATAACATAGTAATATGTTGTACATCATTAAATTAATCTCAATATACATTTTCAAGAATATGTAATTACACATTTATACTGTTTCGTTCCAATTAAGAAAAAATAAATAAAAATAGTAATAGTAAAGTAAATGTAAAAAATGAAGATTATTAAAGAAAGAAAAAAGCTAACAAGGGGAGTATGAGCAAAGTAGAGTGTAAATTTGAAGCATCTGATGTTCTGCTACGACTAGCAACAACAGCTGGAATGAATCTTGGTGATCCTCGGAACATCACAGCAAGTTTTCGAGTATTCGATGAATAAGCTTGACTATTACTACCATCATCAACTTCATTTGTTGCCTTACTGCTACTGATGCTGCTAGTAATAGCATAACTCAAGGCATGTTCATCATGTTGTGCTGATGAACTCAGAGTAAGTTGTGACATGAATAACATGAAACATACTAACAACACTGCTTGAAATTGACGTCTCAACTGTGTCATCTTGATTGTTTATGTAACTTTCAAGCTCGAATAATTCAATTAAATCGAATCAGGTTGATGAAGAAGAGATGAGCTGATGTTTTTGGGGTGGAAATTATTTATTAGGTGAGGAAATAATATGGTTTGTGTAGTTATATTTAAAGGGTGGCAATTAGTTGAGAAGCTTAGCTTGGCAGACTATATTTATTTTTAATTATTGGTATAAGATTAAGTATGTTGAAATTATCAAATTTGGCTAAGTCTTTTTATTTAAGCATATTTTCCTTTGACTAAACAACTTGAGGTTTTGTCTTGTAATTTCTGTTTCCTGCTTCACTCGGTTTCAATCTAGCCGGCAGAAATTAGTAGTTTCCCAGGAATTTGCATCCTAATTTAATTTAATTTTATAGAGATATAAATAAGTGGGAGATGCCAAATGAATAATTAAAAGCATGTGTTCAAAGTTGTTTTCTTTTTTAAAAATACTTTTCTTTACTTTTGAAACATCCATAACAGGTGTGATTTTTTTCTTAAAAATTATAAATATGACTTTTGATTGAATTTTCTAATATTCCCTTACATAAATAAAGTAATGGTAACAATAACATAAATGTGAGGTTATGTCATATAAAATGTTGAGATAGTGTTCTTACAATTAACTAGTTTTTGGATCCAGATAATATCTTGATTATTACATGAATAAAATTTATACTTTTACGGATGAATGACGTGTCATGATCCAATTATTCAGTTATTGTTATTATTTATTTATCTATAATTAATTTTGAAAGGATTACATGTAATCTGGTATAATATAGCCCAGTGTTTAAACACTTTTTTGGATAAAGAAAGAAATTATAGGGTCCCTTGATTGTTTACACTTTACAGCAATTTGGTTTTCCTACCTAACTTTGAATGGATCTACAAAAATACTAACAGAATAACGAAATTTGATGGATTTTCCAAGACTATGTAAATGGTTATAATACAGAGGCCTAAATTAGCTAAACAATTCATCAAGTATATCTTGGTTGAGTTTCTGGAGAGACAATACTTGGCCAACCTGTCTAGCCAACTCTCCAGTTACTCGGTCCAAATAAAGCGAATAAAGCCCTGACCTCTTCTCCATTGATTGCAATGTTTTACGAGCATGAAGAAATGAAATCAGCCATTCTTCGAATAACCCTACAATGACATCAAACTTTCACATCAGTCTGCGACAGTTTTACTGAAACATGCTAGACTTGTTAGGATTATTGACACAGCAGTGCACATAATTATACTAGTTCAAGGCCTAATTAACCAGCTATGTTCCCTGTAATAAGAAAGCCAATTTCAAAGGTAACGCCATTTTTTGCACTAATGTTCATACTTTCTGTTAATATTTGAAATCTAACTGCAAATTTAAAAATATTTTGTGGAGTCTATATATATAACAAGGTTAAACACATACTAATCTCAAAACCTTCATCTTTTGACCAAGTGACTAAGTAGTCTGACGCTAGAAACTCAAAAAGCTGAATCCTGCAAGTCAAACAATTTATTAGATGAATAAGAAAAGGAACTACTCCATACTACTAAAAGATAGCCAACTCAGTTACAGCAAATGCAGGCCTAATATTACAAGAATATTTGATTCGTCGTATAGCAAGACCACCAACCAGTCAAAGACTAAACAGCAGCATATCCAGAAAGCATAATTATATGTTATAAATTTTCTGGAATACATGACACTGTAAATCCACATACATTTTGTGGTATACAACAAACCATGAATGCTAATATGGGATCCAAGATATTGGTGAGGATATTGATACATATATAATGACAATTCAGATGAGTGAAGATCAGAATTTATAAAAATGAAGCATGCCAATCATAGAGAAAAGACCTGAGGAAAGATAAGGCGATTGATTAAGCATATATGCTCAATTCCATAATGGTTCAATTTAAAAATAGATAAATAAATAAGAAAATAATCCATTACTTCAATTGATGCAACAATCAAGCTTAGAAGAAAGTCAGAACATTCGTATAAGGAGAAAAAAAAAGTGTGGGAAGCTTACATCACAAACATAGAATCGTGGATTTGGGGAAATGACTCATCAAATGGATCCAGCAAGAGCAAATGTTCTGCTAGTTCAGATATCCTGTGGCAGACAGAAAGCAAGACCCTCTGTCCTACATAGGACACATTTCCAAGCTTACGAATAATGTGCTGAATATGAGTTTGCGCATCAGTTTCAGGGTCACATAGCTCTGCAAACAATAATGCAACGCGATCAGCAACCATATGAAACAGAAGAGAACACGAAAAAAACACAGAGAATTGCTACCATAGCTAAAGACTACTATTTTGACATACAGTCAGAGGACATTTTATTGCCCTGGACAAAAACTGGGGTCTTTGATTCTAGGCAGGATGATTTGTTTGACTTCAACAATTACTGAACAAAACATCAAGAGCATTCATCTCCAATGGCAGTCATATCTGTTTGAAAGAGCAACTACCTCAACTACATGCTCTTATTATCAATTTTTCTGAAGTTCCATCACATTGAAACAGACCAAAAGTTTTCCAATGCCAATGATCAATCAGACATGACAGTTTCGGAGAAACTGAAAAACTATAAAATCAATGAGAAGTAATTTCTAGAAAGAATCAAAACAAACAGTATGGCCAAAAATTAATTATAAGCATTTCGGCATCAAAGTTTAGTCCATTATAACTCAAATCACCAAGGCAAACCAAGATGAAATATTTGTCCAATAAAATATCAAATAATGGAAAGAAATGAGTATGTTGAAAGAAATATAAATTACCATTTTCCAGAGGTGTGCACATCCTTTTGATTAGACAAACAATCAAATTGCTGATAATTCCATCAGTAACAGCCATATCCTTCCCAGTTAATAATTCTTGATTCACAGAACCTTCAATTCAACACAAAAATACATCTCTCTTAGATGATGAATTCAAAACAACAATATCCTATGAAAGTCAGCAACGTTATGAGATACAGTCACCCATTTTGACATACATAGACAATACAGTTGGGATTGGAATCCCTGAAACTGCAAGATTTAACTTTTAAGATCTCTGTAACTATCAATCACCAAGTTATAAAGTTCCAACAGCAGATAAACAAACTCTTTGCATTTGTAAAAACCACCGCAAACTTAATAGGATAAAACTACTAAAGAACTAAAAGCAAGACTACATTCCGCAATTAGTAAAACAACTTAGTAAACATTGAATATGAAGCACACATTAACTACCACAAGTTTACACAAAGGTAACCAGTTGAACCTCATACTAATATTTGCATAAATTTCAAGACATTGCAGATTATATAACATAACATTAAATTTTCATACCAAAACTAGCATTATACAAGACCAAGTATGAATTAATGCCTAACCTAGAATGAAGTCCACAGCTTGATGTGCCAAGTTTGCAAATTTAGGTCTCTTCACCTGCAGAAAATCATCGAACAACATGCTTGAAATCGTGACCATACCACTACATTTACAAACAGAAATATTTCTTGAAGATAGGTTAACATATGTTTATGAAATGCAAATCTAACCATGCTAGGTGTCTCACAAAGATCCACCAGAAACTCAGCTGATACCTTCAGCTTTGCTATCTCCTCTTCCTTGTAATATTCTGTGAAATTACAAGCAGACAGAAACTTTCTATAATCTGATCTAAACTTAATTTCCTCTACAATTTCATAACATTGTTCATTTTTACATACATTAAACAGGAAAAAGACCGAAAAATAGTGTAAATGAATGTTTTAAGATGCACTAGAACCTGAAAAAGCTCGTTGATCAATCGAATTGCTCGTCTTTCGTTTAATTCTCTTATGCAAACGTACTGCAAAATCAAGATCAATTCATTCAAATCAACAAACCGATCTAATACAAAAAATTCCTATTTATATTACTTTTAATAAACTGAAGAGCAAAGGATAAAGTACGACCTAATCTGAGAAATCTGCGATGAAGAACATCATTCAGCCGATGATCAGAACAATTCGTTAACTTCTTAGGGCTTACAATTTGCAGATTATTGAAAAAATAACACTTGCAGGAAGCACTTTCCGGATACAAATCACGACCTAAATCATCTAATCACAAAAACACAAACAAAAATCGAAAATAAATAAGCACAAAATTCGAATTTTTACAATAAATTAAATCACTAGAATACGAATTCAAGCGATTATTGAAATTGCTAACCTTCAAGACGTTTGAGCTCATCTGAGAGTCGTTGAATTTCCTGCTTACGATTTTTCGCCTGAATTTCCAGCAAAAAACTTCGTCAATCAGAAATTCAGAGTAGAGGAGAGAGAGTATGAATTGCGCGCGCTTACCTTTTGCTTCCAATGGAAGGTACGAGAAGCAGGAGAGGACAGAGAAGAGTGAGGTTGAGAGAGAAGCTTTGATCGGAGAAGAGCCATTGCGATTGCAATCTTCATCGACTCGTTGGAGTTAATCGCCGCCGCCGCCGTAGGTTCCGCCATTGACGGTGTTGTTGTAGCCATTTTTTCTCCGGTGTGTTGTAAGTTTCCGGTAGTGAAGTAGTGACACCGTCGGTTGAGTGATTTGATTTTTGGTGAGCGCGGAAAATTGGGTTATTTGGGATTAGCCGCCTTTTTTGGTTGGGAGTAAAAAAAAGAGAGAGAGAGAGAATGATTTCTATTAAAAGTTTAAAATTGAAGTTGGAGGCCGGGGTCTACAATTAGTCATTTCCCTCCGTGGCCGTGGCCGTACCCGTGTTGTGTTTTGTGGATCAACAATGTGAGTAAAAATGCTAAACATACGCTAATACACAATATAATTTATAAACCTAATTATATCTGTAAATATGAGTTAAAATTAAAATATGTACGAAATACTCGTCATCTAATTTAACTAAAAAATTTTAATCAAGCTTTTTGATAGGACATTAACTCTAAATCAATTACTTGTACGTAGTATTAGTTTCAATAGGTACGAAACATAATTAAATACCTGCTTTTTCGTTTATAAAATAGATAAATAAAATTTAATTGTGATGTTTAAATTTCCTTTTTTTGTAGGAAAAAATTAGCAGAAATGTTATTTCAAATTAAGTTCCGCTAAGATACTTAAATTTTTTTTTTTTTTTTTTTTTGAAAAGATACTCAAACTTACCTATTATCCTTTTTAAATGAAAAAAACACCTTTTAATTTTTACATCAGAAACACCAAATTATAGACCAACATGTCACCTTGAGCCCAACAAAAAAAAAAAAAAAAAAATGAGTAGTAAATAATTTATTGCTCATTTAATTTTTTTAAAAAAAAACACAAGAAATGGCGCTGAAACAGTGAAACAACAACATAACCCGCTAAAATTAACCCGCAACTCCATTTAATAATTTTCAAAATTCTCCCGCGCAACCTTCTCCATTTTAATCTTCCCTCTTTCTTCCTCCCCTTCTTCCCTCTCTTTCTCATTTCCTCCCAATTTTCTTCAGATTCATCTCCATAATTTTCTCTCTCTAACTTTCTCTCTCCTCCTAAACCAGTAAAAATGGCGAAGCAAGGAAAAGGAAGAAAACCCGATACCACCAACAACAACAATGTAGGTAAAGGGAAAGTAACTCCAGTTCAAGTCGCCTTTATCGTTGATCGCTACCTAGCCGAAAATAACTACTCCAAAACCCGGTCCGCTTTTCGCTCCGAAGTATCTCCTCTTATTTCCAAGTCATTTCTTCAAGAGGTACTTTTTCAATCAAATTGATTTATTTTTGGATTATTTGTTGTGTTTTTGATTGATTTTGATTTGGGTTTTTTTTTTACAGACACCCAAAAGTTTGTTGAGTTTAGGGGAATTATTAGATGAGTATATTTGGTTGAAAGAGCAGAAAGTGATTATTGAGCAAGAGAAAAATGGGTTAGTTCAAGAGAAGTGTAGGATTCAAACCCTTTTACAAGGAATGCAGGATTTGATGAATGTTTATAATTCTTCTGCTACTGTTAATTGTCTTACTCCTCCTCCGCCTCCGCCGCCACCCGCTTCTGTTGCACCTAACTCAGGTTTGTGCTTTTGTTCATTGGTTGATTTGAAATGGGGTTTTTGGTGGTTTATTTGTTTGGTTTAATAGAATGTTTTTTTGGTTGGATTTGTTGGGAAAAGGGTGTTGGTTGTTTGATTGCATTGGCATTTGTTTGTGTGTTTATGCATTTCAATTGGTTAATTTGCTGGATTGGTTTCTAAGTTTGTGAAATTGTGATAGTTTCCTAGATGAGGACATTGTGGGAATTGAGAAGTGGAAATTAGGGATTTATCGAAAACTCGAGCATGATCATCCTTCATGTTAGAGTTTAGTTATTGAATTTATTTGTTTAGATGTATATAGGACATTGAGTGTAACAGATTATCTATGAAAAACATGTAATTTTTGAGTCCTTTATTTTCAAATCAACCCAATAAGATTTTTTCATGTAAGTAAACATGTTCAATGCATTTCATATGGTGGAATATTGGAAACTACCCTTTTGAAATTGATTTCAATGCTTGTTTTTCTCTGGTTTTCAGGCTATCCTGCTTACAGAACTCCAGTTATGACAACGATGTCGATGACACAAAGTGTGAAGGTGGATCATACCAATTACTCAACACCTATCATGAGTTCGCGTCCTCCAAGGAAGAGAAAAACTTACAAGGATGCTCATGATGTACCTCAAGCACCAAAGAAATATTGCACTCCCATAACTAACAACTCATTCTATGACAAAGGTTGGTTTTGGTTAAATATTGTATGCATCAATGTAAGTCCATTAATTTTTGTAAACTTCAATTCTCATTACTGAATTTTGCTTCTTGCGAAAATTAACTCTGCAGGCAGTAATTCAGCTGCACAGCCAAGTAATGCAGCTAAAGGTCATGTTACTAATCATCAGTCTCCTCCTCTACAATCACTATCCCCTAGTTTTGCTCAAGGAGGATCACCGATTCAAGGATCAAATGTTGCAAAGAATTTATTTGATAAGCCATCAGGATCTCCAAATTCAAATTCTTCAGGTCCTAAAACACCCCCACGAGCACTCTCTTCCCAAAGCGAAAAATCCACTTCTCCTCTTGAAGATGTATCTTCAACTGCAAAGTCTCAACATGATAGCACCCCTCCTGAGACTACACCCACTAACTGTACTATTTACTCCTCTAAGACGATTATTGTTAGTCCTGCTAAGCACATTTCCATTGAAAGGAATCAGTGCACTTTTTCATCGCCTGTTAAATCAAACAAGCGGCAGGGCAATAGAGAACATGTCAAAGGGAGACTGGATTTTGACAGTACTGATATGCCGACAAATGTGGAAACTACCAGTGGGGATGGAAGTAGTGCCAGTTCAGAATCTGAAAGGGAAGGAGACATTTTTGACTTGGGTTTGGATGCCTTTGGGCCGGACTTCTGTCTGACAGAACTCCTGACTGATTTTGGGATTGATTGTGGAGGTATTGACTATTCCTGCCCATCAACAGCAGGTGCTTCAACTGCTGCAGTCACAGGGTAAGTGGGTTTTGCCATATTACTGCATTGATTCAAGTATTTCTTGTATTTGGTTTCTTATTGTTATTATCATATGCCGTATATGCTTAAAGTCGGATGGAATGCAGTTTGCTTCATGACGGAAACAATGAAGAATTAGAGAGTAGCCAAGATTTTGTAGAGCATTCATCAGCTGTTCGAGAAGTTTGTTCTGGAGACATGACAGGAAATGGTAAACATTTTTAAAATATTACCGCTCTTCAATTGATATCTCATTCAGTCAGATAATTTGGAGCTGACATTCAGTCAGATGATTGTTTGATTACAGGTTCAGATACCATTACTTCAGTTAAGTCCATGAGAAAGTGCATAAGAATAGTTAGTCCTAGTAAGTTTGTTTCTCTTATTTCATTCTCTTGTCAATGGTCCTTAAAACATTATAACAATTCATCACACTTTCCTGTGATTTTCATCTCTTTCCTGTGATTTTCTGAACTTTTGATTTATGATTTCAGCAAAAGGTTCAAGGAATAGTTCAAGCCATGAAACATGATCAAGAAACCTTCAGCACAAGAAGCTAACCAGTTTAACTTCCAGGCTGACTTCAGCTGACTAGTGTTGATGACATAACAATACATCACACTTTCCTGCGATTTTCATCTCTCGGAGAGTTGTTGATTTTAGGTTTAGAGCTAGACAACTTTGCAGTCACTTGTGCAATAGTGTTTTTGTTTCTAAAGAGAGTTCACTGTAAACTTCGGAACTTAGGATCAATATTTATTATTCCATCTTAATGCAGTGATGCAATCTCTATATCTCCCTCTGCAATAGTGTATTATAACCATTGAATCTCTCTATTATATGGTTACTGAAATGTGACATATATTAATCCTTAAGAAGAATGAGAAATGCTCAATGTAATTTCTTGTTCACATAACGGGTATATCCGTCTGGTAGCCATTTCTAATTTAAGCATTTTAGAAATGCAGGGTGCAGAGATGCTACTATGGACCGAAGAACTAAAACTTTTAGCAAATATTGATAGCAATTTAACTGGCCAGAACTACAATTTTGCAATTTGCAGTAGTTGATCAGCATTCAAATACTATGATGTCTTAAAGTCTTAAGTACATAATGGGGTGTAACCGTGTAATAGTGTATTAGAATTGAAATTGAGCTCTGTTATAGTAATAATTTAGGATTTTAGCTTTGTTATACTAAAAGGCTATTGCTTTGAGTTTGAATGTTTGAGAGCTAGGAGAGTTGATTTATGCCTCACCTATTCTCTTCTGTCGTCGTTTAGTCACCAATTTGGCTATTTGCTTGTTACTTGGCTTCAGATACGTATTATGCTAGACTGTTTGATATTGTACTCTGATCTTAGTTATGCTGTCTTGCCACGGGGTCCTAGGAAATGGCAGCAAGCGGACTGGTTTGAGAGATCGACATCATCCTTACTAGGCTACTGTCTTCAATTTACCAGTAATAATAATCACTGAATAATACATTATACATTGGGCCAAATCTTTAAAAGTTACAGTTCAGATGTTGACAATCAATATGAGTTGCCTTTGCCAAGACTAATACAGACTAATATTTACGGAGGATACAGTAAAGTTGTTCGGACAGAAATGTTTTTGTGCATGGAGACGAGATTTTGACAAATTTATAGGCGCACCAAAGTAATCAGAGGCTTGCTCAAGCCCTTAAGAACAAAAACTTGTCCAATTCAGGATATCACAAAATTCATAAAGTAACCGAATACAGAACAAACTCGGTCCTTGACAAGGACAAACCATCCAAATGTGAAAATTACACATAATCCAGCCATGCCTGACAGAAAAATCCATGGCATTATGTTTAAGCTTCTAGACCAAAAAAATATCCCAAAAAATAAACATTTAAAAAAAAAAAGGAAAAAACCTACAAGTATGACCTTAGTCCTTTGGAGCAAAATATACAGTCAATAAAAAGAAAAACCCAGATCCTCACTGCTCCAACTCAGTATATAGTAATACATGGGTACTGACCTCAAACATGGGAGGAATTGTGAAAAGCATAAAACAAAAATGTAATCATAGGAAAAACGTTGGATAATTGCGGTGGACTACATTGAATTTCAAGTACTACTGTAAAGGGGGGAAAAAGAACAACCAACCGGCATTCAGATAAGGGCTCTGCATGCTTCAACATCAGCAGCTTGTGCTTCCAAAACTCCTTGTCCGACCACCCTCTCGGTGGCATCGAATATAGGTTTTCGGAATATTTCATCTTCTACTTTCTGCAGGACTTCTTTCACTACACTGA